ACCCTTCTCAGAGGCCCCACACGTCTCGGCCTCTCAGGACCAGCCCCAACAGGACACCCCTGCCCAGCCACAGAATCCTCCAGGGTCTTCCTGGCCCCTTAACTGGCCCTGATTGTCATAAAACAAAACAAAACAAACTTCTCTGCAGTTTTAGGAAATGTATCATGCTTTCTGCACCCCACAGAGACCCTGGGTTATTGTTTCTAAAAAATTATGCCTTATGACTACCAGTGTAAGAATCACTAATCAGAATCAGATGCTTCTAATTCAGATGTACAGACCTGCTAAATAGTATTTCTGGCCTCAACCTATGTGAGCTCTGTTTTTCACAGTCCAACCGTGGTTATCTCACACTTTGGATCACCCCAACATCAGCTCAACTTGCAGCTTCAGCATCTGATTAAATAGAGGTCAAGGCAGTGAGAGAGGAGGCTAGGAAAGAGAGATCATGAAGATGAAGGAGAGTAGGAAGTATGATTGAAAGATGCTGGACTATTTCAGATGCAGTCATGGAATTGTGCCTCAGGCAGACTTACTCAAATCATGACAGCCATTTGTTTTCCAGTTTCTTCCTGCATCTACTAGGTTTTGTCTTCTGGCATTATTTGCACTCAGATGGCCAATAGGACAATGGGACCCTCTACAAATCATATAGTCACCAACAAACAATGAGGTTAAAAACATCCAAGATCCAAAAGTCAAAGCAAACTTTTATTAGCTGCCAATCTACATATCACAAAAATTTTGCCTAAAGTTAAGTCATTTCACAAATGTGAAATATGTTTTCCCAATTTCATGTCACAACTTACCTACAGTCCATATTTTTCATTTCAGAGTTTGTGTAGCATTATAATTTCTTTCTCATCTTCCCTTTTTAAATAAAATGCAGGCTTCCTAGTGGCTGGCATGATAAAATGCAGATTGTATGAAAAATGATGTCTGTAATTTCTTACTCTAACCACTCAGAGTTAGAGCATCACTGAGGAAAAAAAATTGTTAGGTACCTCCCCCAAATGATTGATGGACGAAATTTAAAACATCTAGAATATAGATCTATCCACAATGGACTTTTGACAAGCCATTTTCTCAAACTCTCCTTATATTCATAGTCAATCCTTTTGTCTTTTCTATTATAGCATATCTATATGTTTTTCTTTCCTGCTCCACTACTGCAGTTGTGGTAGGAAAGTCTGAAATTAAATTAGTCTGAGATCTTAGCTCCTTGGCCATCCTATGTCCTATGTTATAGAATTAAAAGTCCATCAGGTGAAGGATTTAGCTCAGTGGTTCTGCCATCTGCTTCGCAAGCGCAAGGTCCCAAGTTCAATCCCTGGGACCAAAAAAAATAATGATAAAATAAAATAAAAATAAATAAATAAAAGTCCATCCATTAGATTCTAGTGGATTTTTAAAAATTCTAGTTTTACACGTGGTATTTATACACAATGAAGTACAACTCTCTCATAAAGAAAGATGAACTTGAGTCATTTGTAGGAAAATGCATGCACCTTTAGATATAATGTTAAGTGAAATAAATCAGACACACAAGCTTAAATATAGCATGATTTCTCTTATATGAGAAACACAAATTACAAATAAAAAGCAAAATAAAAAAGATAGATAATAGAAGTAAGGAGATAGGCCTTTCTCAAAGAAGTATGGGACCAAGAGATGAAGGGGGGAAAGCAGCTGAGAAAAGGAACAGGTATGTGTTATGTATGTGTACCAACACCACACAAGAAATGTAACCATCATACACTGCACATGTATACTAATACAAATTTAAAAATAAAATTACATTGGAGAGATAACAGTCAACTTAACCTGCACTGAGCTTCCAGGTTAGAACTTGAAGGTCAGAAATTGGACTCTGAACCTTCTGATCACCATCATCACTCTCTCATTTTTTATTCTTTTGTTTGGTGGATCCCAAAGTAGCTGTGTATCAGAATCATTTAAGGAGTTTGTTGAAAATACAGATTTTGCCGATTCACTCCACAAATAAAGAAACTGACTTTCTAGGTGTGTGGATTAACTAATGGTCAATTGGAATGCCCAGCTGAACTGAATCAGTGTGGCCCAGGCATGGAAGACCCACCTGAGGATTGTTGCCAACAGAACAAAAAGAGAACTGGAGGGAAAGATTGGAGGTTGTTGATTTTCTAGGAGAAGCTTGCTGCGGTTGGTTTTCCTGATGTGAACTTGGCTGTTCTTGTCAGAGGAGGAGCTGCGGTCCTCCCTGTTGCCGGGAATGGCTGCTGTTCTCATCAGGGTAGCTTGGATCTTCACCATGAGTGCCAATCCTGGCTCCAGTATAGCTCCCTCAGCCTGGTGGCACAAATCCTTTACCCCACTGGCACAGTTTTTCTGGCTTCCCCCACTAGTTTTAGGGGCTCCCATGATGCAGATCCTTGATACAGACTTGCATGAGACATTGCTGTGGGCTCTAGGCCACTGGCTGGACTCATGGAAGATATTGCCTTGGGCTCCAGCCTTCAGCTGGACTTGTGCTGGACATTGCTGTGGGATCCAGGCCCTTGGCTGGATTCTTTGGGTCTCTAGTGTGTGGTTAGATCTCTTGCACTCCTCTGCATTTGACTTTTTGGGTGGACATTATAAAAATAATCCTATAAATTATGTGTCCTATATTAAATCTATTTCCTTTGCAAACCCTGACTACAACACTAGGGCTAGGGGGTCCAGAAATCTGATTTTTCTACAAGCTCCCCAAGTGATTCTCAGGCAACTTCCAAGGACTCATTTGCTGTAGACATTTGGGAAGCACTTCTCTGGTTCAGTGGTTCAGGAATTTATTCATCTATCAGAAGCTCCTGGAGGCCTTGTTAACACATAGATTGAACCTTAGTTTCTGATTCACTGGGTCTGGGATGACATTTGAGAATTTGCATTTCTAACACGTTTCTAGGGAACGCTGATAGTGCTGGTCTGGGGACCACAATTTGAGAAACTGGCCCTAACCCAGGTTACTTTGTACAGATTTATTATTCATTAGCATTTCTATGTTGTGGGCAAGGACCATGCTTCCAAAGAAACTATAATCACAAGTCACAGGTAACACACCTGGCTGAGCATCATAATCATGCAGAGCTTTTTTTTGTTGTTTTAATTTAACATTCAGTTATTGGGGCTAGGCTTGGGCTTCATCTCAGATCTGCTGAATCAGCATTCCCAGGATTCCCTGAGAATTAATTTTCTTATAAAGTTACCTAGAAGATTCTGATTTATGACAAGGATTTGAAACTATCTTCTTGGATTAGCCAAACTTGTGAGGTCATGAATATCTTATATGAAAAGAATTATTTGCTGTATAGCCAAAACTAAAATTTAATGAGGCAATCTATAGTTTATTTTTTACATCTGGCACACCCTGCTCCCTTGGCTGCCTTTGGCAGGAGTTTTTCTTTTTTCTCAGTATATTCCCTCCTTTGCACAACATACCCCTATTTTATTTTATATTTTTTAACATACTCCTATTTTAAATGCTTAAGGGAGTAGAGGTGAATGAAACCCATCCTAACATGATGTATGAAGAAGAGAAAATTAAGATTTTTCCTTGGGAAAGAATATACACAAACATACACATCACACACACATCACACATGCAGACACAGGACACACACACACACACACACACACACACAGTGGGAGAGAGATTCATTAATCTAGACAGCAGAAACATAATCAGAAAAAAATTTAATCTGTTAATGTTTTTTTACCAGGCAATTCGTCAATTTCCCAATCAAAAGAAACCCTAGGGAATGAAAAGACACCAAAGATGCTATTAAAATGTTCCAAGCGAAAGCCATATTTAATTAATCTCAAACAAGCACAAACTATGAAACACAAATGCTTCAAGGTGCTGAGTGAAAAGAGAGATAAATCTACATCAGGCTTCAAAACTGATGCTTCCAGATGAGTCTAAGGTTGGGCCAAAGACAGGGAGATAATTTTGTCTGACTTACTCCCTGTTTTATGGGAAGCTAAAGAGTAGTAAGATGAGATGCTCCCAGTTCATCAAGGATGAGAAGAGATTAATATTGTATAGCCCAGTATCTGACATCAATGTATGATTACCCAGAGTCAGAACTGAATAAATGGAACACCAATCAAAACACAGAAGAAAAATTCACTGACACAGAAGACAAAACAAGGGAAGTGTCTTGAAAATCACTTTCCAGGCACAGTATCCATCATTAGCCTCAAAGTACCTGCAAAGAAAGCAGCTTTCTCCTTTAGGAATCTTCTTGTAGGTTAGGGGTCAGCAAACTTTTCCTGCAGAGGGCTAGATAGTAAGGCTGTTAGATTCTGCATAGTCTTGGCTGCATCTACACAACCTTGCCATTGTAGTATGAAAGTAGACACAGACATCACATACGTAAATAGATATTGCTGTGCTCTAATAAAACTTTATTAACAAAAAGTAAGTGTGGAATGGTTTTGACTTATGGCCCATAGTTTTCCAACCCACGTAACAGATGAGCCCATGTGACCAGAATATCATCATCAATGGCTTCTACAGAGCAGCCAACATTCTAACAGTGCATGTTCAGTAGGAGAAAAAAATTCCATTAACTCATCACTACCCATACAAGAGCACAGTGTTTAAAGGTCACCCCAAAGTGTGAAGGCAGGAAATTAGGATTCCAGAAACAGAGAGAAGATATTCATTTGAAATTTTAAGATTGCGTTATAAAGGAGAAAGAGACGGAGACAAGAAGTGCAAACATTCCAACATGTGTTTAGCGAGGTTCTCTTCATGGACTTGAAGTTCAGGAAGAAGGTGACTGGATGGAAGAGAAGGGATGGCTTGCTATTGCCTCTGACCTAGAATCTTTAACCCTTTAACCTATTTCTGAGAGTGCATCCTGCAATGAAGTCTTTCCCCCTTGATCAGGAAGGTTTCTTGACCTCTTCAATTCACTAAGTTCACATTTAACTTCCCCAAAATTCTTTCCTAGAAAAGAAACACAACCCAGCACTTTGGCATAGAATTTTATTCTTTAACCTAGCATATGTCTCCCTGGTACATGGAAATTCAAATGCAGTGACATCGGTAAGTTCGTCTCCTGGTGGGCCTCTGGCAGCCAAGAAACACACAGCATGCATTGACATTGTATAAGTGAAAAGCCTTCCTCCTTCCCACCCCCACCTGACAAGTGGTAAATGGAGTTCATTTTAGTTCGGCCAACAGTTTTCCTGAACAGCTCCCGTTCTCACTGACTACACTGTTGCTGGGTGCCTCAGCTTGGATCTCGAGTGTACCCCAAGGGCTCATGTGTGAAAAGCTTGGTCCCCAGTCTGGGTGCCACTGGGCGCCTTCAGGAGAAGGGACACAGGGAGAGGTTTTAGGGAACTGCGGGTCCACTCTCGAAGGGCATTGTGACAGCCTTGTCTCTTCTCTGTTCCTTCCGTGTCACATCATGAGGAGAGTGGTTTTCTGCTCTGCCACATGCTCTGCCTTGTGTGCTGCCTCACCACAGGCTCAAAGGCAACAGTAGGTCAGGAACGGAGGCCTTCACAACCACGAGCCACAATAAACCTTTTCTCTTTATAAGCTGATTATCTCAGGCTGTCTAACATAGTGCAGATACTGCTTTCTCACCTGTGGATGAGATTTCACAGACACTCAGAGCTAACCACAGAAACCAGAGGGTCTGACTGGGTAGCCTCCGAAGGAGTCAGTGAGGTCAAGAAGTCCTCTCAGCTAAAGGCATGGTTGGGCCAGGACTAGCCAGGATATTGTCGCTTGTCAAAAATACTGACTGGATATTTCCTGCAGAACTGACAGGATGCAACCCCCGCTTTTGACTAGGGAGCATGGAACTCAGTCCTTTCAGTCTCTACCAAGCCCCCTTTCTCAGTACTAGGATCTCATGCAAGAGCATTTTAGCAAAGCAAATCACTGCCTTCTGCTTTGGGGCCCAATGTACCATCTTCACCAAGTGCAAGACTGATCTTCACTCCAGTGTTCACACAGTTTTTGCCTTGTGCATTAGAGGGCTGGTCTCTCCCTCTCCTAAAAAAGGTGGCATCATAGCAGTGGAAGCATGAAGACCCAGGCAAATACTGGCAGGTAGGTTGCGGTAACACTGCTGCCAGATGTCCTCTGAGCGTGCATTACAGCAAAGACTGCATTTGTGTGGTTGGTGGGCAGTTCCACATTGCAGATCATTCCTTCACAGCAAGACCTGCATTCCTGTTAAAAAGAAAGAGGAGAGGGAGGAGTGAATGATAGGAAGAAGGAAAGGGTAAAACACAGAAAAACAGACGAAAAACTGCTTTATCTCCATTGGAAGCAGACCATTTGAGTTGATTAGCCAGTCTACATATCACCAGCCTTAGGGCCCTTCCTCTGCAATGGATCTGGAGGATAAAACCACTTGAGAGTCTTTCCTGCTCAACCATGCTTTATCTACATCAGACTTAAGCATACGCAAGGCAAACAAGAGGAGGGGAAACTGAATGAGGCTGACTGAGTCACCAAATCTTCTATGGGTGTGGAATAAAAACACTGAAACAAAACTGATTTTCTTTCTCAGTGTTACTTGTTAGGTAATAATAATGATTCTCTATTGGCTGTGTTCATACCTCATTCCTATCATCACTGTCACAACTGTTTGCTAATTACAACTGCTGAGTGGTAGAAAAAGGAAAAAAAAAGGCTGAGTCCCTAAAATCATATTTTCAGAGAGTGTTCCCAAGGGAACTGATCTCTTAGGATAGTACCAGTGCATATCTGGAACAGTCCTTGACCTGAAATGCCCAGCCATTCATAAAGGCTTCCAGGATGTCTAAGCAATGTACTGGCATCAACTCCAAGGATCTACCATCAGTGCTTCTCAACGCTGGCTGCACGTCAGATTCACCTTTAGGAAATGTTTGAAAAGATCTTTTGCCCAGGACCTCTACCCTGAGGTTGTTTTAGTTGGTCTGGCATGCTTACCTACCTCTCCTCACACACACCTTATAATAGCTCCACAGTTTCCCCTTCTGTAGCCAGAGCTAACAACCACTGATGTCAGGACCATTTTCTATACTTATAGGCTAAATCACCTTCTAAAACTTCATGAAATTAATATACTTTCAACTAATTTTATTCTGAAACATTCAGGATTTCAGGCATATAAAAAAGTAAAATACTCATTTAGAAGGGCAAAGAAAATTAAAGAGATAAATTGATCCAAAATATAGTTCGTTGTATTAAACTGAGACTGTCAGACACTCACTTCCTCCTCTGAGTGGGTGAGACAAGGTTTCCTTGGTGAAACGTGACACTATTTCCCTCCTTCTACCTTCTAGTTTGCCTGTGCAGTGTTCCTGGTGATTTCTAGCCAGGAACAAAGTACATGAGCTGGGCTCTGTCGTGTTTATCATCCTCTAGTGGATGGTTTATCCATTGGCCACCAGAGCTGGATTCAGACCATTTACCTAGAGTCTGAGGCCTAGGGTCTAACTCTGGAATCTGGGAATTATCATTCATTTTAATAACATCATTTCTTGTCAAAGAATAAAAAGTCTTCAACTTCTCTTAGTCTCTATTTCAGCCCTGTAACAGTGTCTTAAAGTACAAATATATCCAGCATTGTTTATGCTTCCTACTTCTTCCATGATGCATCACTTACCATCACCAGCATATGATCTTAGATAGTAACTTTACACATGCACATGCACAATGATTTTTACCGTATGTTCAGAATCTTGGCTGTGGTGGCAACCAACAAAATGACATTCATTTTTGGAGGCACACTTTTTGGTGATGGAGGTACTTCTTCCATGGCTGGTGAAGTGATGAACAGTCAAACAATACTGTGTGTCTAGATAAAAAAAAAATTTAAAAAAGCAACTTCATTTACACACTGCAAAACAGACCTCTTATTCATCACACTGAGAAATCACTAAAGTTCAGGATGAACCTTAGGTTCCAACATAAGAAATACAATAACAAAGGACTTGGGAGTTTCTAGGTCAGTGGTGGCAAACCTATGGCACATTTGTTATTGCGTTTTCCTTTTAAGACAAAAGATGTTAATGTAGAGTTGTTTTTTCTAAACTAACACCTCAGTATCCAGATTTGATTGCAGTGTTGGCACTTTGAGATAAGTAAGTGAGTTTTGGTTGCAGTTTGGCACTTAGTCACTAAAAGGTTCACCATCACTGGTCGAGGTGGTATTTTTATGAAGATATCAGTTTGTGAAGTGTGCATGCATGCGTGCGTGTATGTGTGTGTGTATGTATTGAAAATGAAGATAACCAGGCACCCATCCTTTGGCATCAACTAAATAGAGGGAAAAAAAATGAGCAAAATTGTCATCAAAGTCGTGGGTCTTCTCATTGAACATGCAAGAGTTTATGTGTCTGGCCTCCTTCTGTCCCTCTGAAGCACATGTTCGAGAACTCTAAAATCAGATGAAAATTGTGAGTGAAAAGTTAATGAGCTAGAGTACTTGTTGCTGCATCATCACACATTTCTTTCTTACAAGCCATGAAGCAAATGGTAGTTCAAAGACATTTCCAAGCACAGATCACTATCATCTTCCTTCCTCATCTAGCTTTTTTTTTGGTGTGTGTGGGGGGAAGTGCCTGGGTTAGAATCCTACCTCCTATCTATGTGACCTTTCTGTCTATGTGACCATGAGCAAGAAACTGTGCCTCAATTTCTTTATCTGTAAATGAGGATGTTAGTGTAGGCTATCTTAAGGCTTATGGTGAGGATTAAATGAGTGAACATGAGTTAGAAGGGTGTCTGGTTGATGGTACATAGCCAATATGTGTTTCCTTTTTAATATTATATAAAGCTTACCATAACCCTATCAAAGTACAAGCACACTTACAATTATTATTTTATCAAAAAGAAAATGAGCTCAAAGAATCTAACATGGCTGATTCACTGTAACAATAGTAGTTTCATAAGCCAACTTCAGTCTCATCTTTGTTTTCCCCCATTAAGTGACATTCCTGTTGTCATTGATCAATAAGGGAAAAAGCATTTCCTTGGCCTCAGATAGCTATAGAGAGACACAGAACTAAAGCAGGATATCCTAGGATATTCAATGAAATCACTTTCTTGGAAGAACCTCAAGTAATAACATATGTGTGGTTAAAGGTATAAAGATAACTCTATATAGATATGACCTAATGACATTATGTAATCAAAATATGAAGTTAATGTCTTAATTTTTTAAAATTATTACAGTAAAAGACACATTGCCATTAATCTGCCCCTCAAGGCACTCCCCCTTGCTTTGAATACACTTATATATACATCATCATTCTTGCCACTTCCTGAAGCAGTTCTGGAAGTCTTCTTTAATGAATGTCTTTAGTTATGCCACCTTGATGTGTTGAATTGATTCAAAACTTTTAACTTTCATAGTCATTTTGACTTTGAGGGAGAGGAAGAAGTTGCATGGTGCCAGATTTGGTGAATAAGGTGGATGAGGATACACTGTAATGTTTTTAATGAACCTTTCTATTGGTTTCATTTTCTCCTTACTGCAGCATTCATCACATTTTTGATTATACCTCTTAAAGACACTCAGAAAAGAAGACTTCCAGAACTATTTTGATGAGGGTTAAGAGTATCTTTTACTGTAATAATCTTTTAAAATTTCAAATTCAATGTGTTTTTTTAATCATACCTCATATGCAGAGCAGGAAGTGGGTAGGAAACAAAGTAAGAGTTAATTTAAAAAGCAAAGAAAAATGGAAATACATTGGTGAAGAAAAGTTAAACAGGTTGGAAGGATTAGAACTTGAATAAGAATTAGATGAGGCTATGGTGCTAGTTTTCAAGTTCTCTCAGGAGAGTCTAACGTCTGACTAGGCCCTTAGAGGAAATTTCTGACTCCTATAGGAACATCATTCGCCTGTCGGTGTGTTACATGAGGCATCTCTCCTTCAGGGCAGTCAGAAGAGACCTAAATGACTGTAAGATCAGCAATTAGGCAAGAGAAAGAAATAAAAGGAGTAAAGATAGGAAAGGAAAAAGTTAAACTGTCATTTGCTGACCATATGATACTCTACATAGGAGACCCAAAAAACTCTGCCAAAAGACTTCTAGATTTAATTGACAGATTCAGTAGGGTAGCTGGATACAAGGTAAACACTCAAAAACCAATAGCCTTCTTATACACAAATAGCAAACTCACTGAAAGAGAAATTAGGGAAATAATTCCTTTTACAATAGCATCCAAAAAAATGAAATATCTAGGAATCAATCTAACAAAGGAAGCAAAAGACCTCTACACAGAAAACTACAGCACTCTGAAAAAAGAGATCCAAGAGGATACAAGAAAATGGAAAGATATCCCTTGTTCCTGGGTAGGAAGAACCAGTATAGTGAAAATGGCCATACTTCCAAAACTGCTATATAGATTTAATGCAATGTCGATTGAAATTCCAAAAATATATTTCACAGAACTAGAGAAAACAGTCCAAAAATTCATTTGGAACCAGAAGAGGCCTAGAATAGCAAAAGCAATTCTAGGCAACAGAGATATGTCAGGGGGTATCACAATCCCCAACTTGAAACTCTACTATAAATCTACTGTGATAAAAACAGCATGGTACTGGCAAAGAAACAGACCTGAGGATCAGTGGAATAGATTAGAAGATCCAGAAACAACTCCAGACATACTTAGCCACTTCATCTTTGACAAAGGAGCCAACCACCCACATTGGAGGAAAGATAGCCTATTTAATAAATGGTGATGGAAAAAATGGATTTCAACCTGCCAAAGATTAAAACTAGACCCATATCTACCACCATGCACTAAACTAAAATCGAAGTGGATTAAAGATCTAAATATTAAAACAGAAACACTAAACTTGCTCAATGATAAGTTAGGTGGAACTCTTGATGACATTGGCATAGGAAAAGACTTTATGAACAAAACTTCAGTAGCATGAGAACCTGCACAAAGAATCAACAACTGGGATCTCATCTTATTAAAAAGCTTCTGCACTGTAAGAGAAACCAATAGAGCAAAGAGACAACCTGCAATGTGGGAAAAAAATTTTAGCAGATGTATCTCAGACAAAGGACTACTATCTAGAATATATAAAAAACTTAAAAAATCAGACACCCCAAATTCAATGACCCAATTCAAAAATGGGCATCTGAAATGAACAGACATTTCTCAGACAAAGAAGTAAAAGCAGCAAAAAAAAATATGAAAAAATGTTCAACATCACTGGTCATTCAAGAGATACAGATGAAAACAACACTGAGATTCCACCTCACTCCAGAAGGAATGGCTGCTATCAAGAAATCAACCAATAACAAATGTTGGAGGGGGCGTGGGGGGAAAGGAACCCTTCTCTATTGTTGGTGGGGGTGCAGACTGATGAAACCACTCAAAGAACTAGGACTGGAAGTCCCATTTGACCCAGCTATTCCCCTGCTGGGTATCTTCCCAAAAGAATTAAAAGAATCATACCCCAGGGATACATGTTCACCCCTGTTTATAGTGGCACAGTTTATAATAGTGAAAGCCTGGAAACAGCCCAACTGCCCATCAGCTGGAAACTGGATAAAGAAGATGTGTTTCTTTTAATAAGATGGAGTACTATTCAGCCATAAAGAATGAGAAACTAGAGACATTTATAGCTAAATGGATGCATTTTGAGGTCATACTTGTAAGTGAAATAAATAGGACACACATGTGCAAATACCGAATAGTTTCTCTAGTGTGAGAAACTGAAAGTGCAAATAAGGATTAAAATGAATAATCGATAGTGGGAAATAGGAAGAAAAGGTCCAAAGGGATAGGGTAAGTGGGAGGGGTAGGGGAAAGGAAAGAAGAGACAGGAACAATTATAAGAAAAGGAAAAAATGGAAACAAAGTCTTTGTAAATAGGGAAGGGTGGAGGGGGTGAAGGGAGGACAGGAAACGGGGAAAAAATAAGACCCAAGATGCATCATGTAAAGGTACAAGTACCCAAAGATAAATGTAAATGTATACCTAAAATGTACCAATAAAAGAGTTTAAGAAAAAAAAACATGAGATCATGAAAGAGTTATCCAAATGTGGCACACTTACTTTGTGGACACCATTTGTCTTCAGCCCATCGGTTGCAGTTATAGTTATCCCCTGCATTTTCACAGGTAAAACACTTGAAGCTGTTTGGAAATGGTGTGGCTTTAAAGAAAAATGTGAAGCAAAATAGTAAGGTTAAAAAAGACAAACATTTCAAACGTTAAATATGGCACAAATTTAGTAACATGTATTGGAGAACTTTTGTTTTTAGGGAGCTGGATTCACTCATTGGGCCCTTGGGCATTTTCTTGATTCCCTTTTCTTTAGGTAGTTCTATGAAATTCCAATATAGAGAACAAATTGATTTCATGAGTCACTTTGAAAAATTTATGGTTTTGTTCTATTATAATTATAATTTGAGAATAAGTGGGGGCTGAAAAGAACTAAAGAAGAGATTAACCTGAGCTAGAGTTTTCTCTTTTTCACTAATCAGTCTGTGATTTTTTTAAACTTCTGAAATACAACAATATTTATAGTTGTAACAATGGAGAGCTTCATGACATAGAGGTATAGTGAGGCAAGAACAATACCTACTAGGGTCCTCAGCCCATCAAATCTTGCTAATTTCCATCTATATACATTCTCATTACAGCTACCCTAACCTTAAACAAATCATCTCATTTAATGTATGTTCATACATGTCAGTTGTCAACATTAGTCTTTGATCGGGAACGTAATATTTAAAATAAGGATGATAGTGGGATGGGGATTTAGCTCAGTGGTGCCGCCCCCTGCCTCGCAAGCACAAGGCCCCAAATTCAACTGATTCCCGGTGCCAAAAAAAAAAAAATAATAAGGATGATAGTAATTATTAAGTCCTTACATTCAGGCCAAAGCATTATGGAAAGGAAAAACTGAGACTTGGTAACAATGTGGATTGGGAGCAACTAGGTCTTTTTGTCTTTATGCCTTTTGAGGAGTCTTGTATCTTGATATTTTAACAGACAAGAGAATAAAAATAAAATTATTTGACATTTCTGCATAACCAGGGCACAGGGCTCTGTGTGTAACTTTTGAGTCGCTCAGTTCTGGAGAACAAAACAGACAAAGGTCAAGGTGAACTTCAAACCATTCCAGTAACATAACCAGAAATTGGAATGAAAATTAAAAAGCAGTGGGTATTTCAAATGCCAGGGAGGGTATGCTTTAAACAGGTAATGCATTAAGCAAACCAAAAGAGTAAGTTCAGAGTATGGATGTGAAATTAAATGCTGCAAATATATTTGTTTGGCTTATATATAAAAGTATATTATATAGGTAAATAAACAAATGACATCCACTTTTACTTTTGAAATCTGAACAGTTAGAAAAATAACCAGTAGCCAACTCTGATGAATAAATGGCTAAAATATAAACTGGTACAACTTTTTGATCTAGTAACTATAATTCCAGGAAATCTATTCAAGGATCATAGCAAATCAAAGGTAAAAGTACATTTACAAAGATTTTCAATAAAAATTTCAATGAATTTAATATTTAACTTGCTTACGTTGCTTTCTGATATAAAGTATGGAATATGATTAAATAAGCTGGTGACTAGCCATATAATTGTTTAAAAAATGTAAAAAGTATTAAAATATTTTCAAAGACATTAAAAATGTTCAGAATATAGAACAAATGGTGAAAAACTAAGATAAAACTGTTTGTGTGATCTCACTAAATTATGTATTTAAATACACATACATAGAAAAAACATTGGAATATTCCAAAATTTAAAAAAGAGCTCCTTTGAATATTAGTATCATGAATAAATTTTACTTCCTTCCATACATTTCCTATTTCTTCAGAATTTTTTATAATGAATACATACTATATTTTTCTTTTTTAAAAGAATATTCCTCAACAAAAATTCTACTAGATTTCAAAAATTGGATATATGTAGATAATTTAGGGTCTATGAAAACTACCCATCATAAGTTTCAGCTATTATACATTCATTAACAACATAGGAATATATAATAAATAATAGTTCAACGTGTGTATATAGTACACATATAAATATGTATACATGTGTAGTGTGTATATATATATATATATATATATATATACACACACTACATAAATATGATTGAGTGTCCTGAAAAATATAGAAAACACAAAGAGCAGTAGTGACATATATCTCTTAGGAGTAGTATAAGGACTTTCATCATAATTTTTATATTCTTCCAGGTGTGGCAACTATGTTCATTTACATATATAAAATCATTACTTATAAAAATCTCTCCCTAACAAAGTATATCAGAGAAGTTTTTCTTGTCTGAGGAGAAAGAAGCACTTAAGATATACATAGGTAGATAGATAGATAGAGATGTACACATATGTATATAAAACATATTATCTTAGAGATAATATACACCAATATTTGCCTATTTTTAAACTAATAATGGAAAAGATGAACTTTATGTAACCTTTGCTAATTAGTGATTATAATAAAAATCTAGATCATATGCCCTTCCAAATATCAAACATTCTAAACTATTTTCAAAATTGTTAAAGGCCATTTGAAAGAATGAGCACATCATTTATGCTGAAACTTCCTACAGCCAATATTCTCCAATGAAGAGATCAACAAAGACCAACTTTCCTCTGCTAAGGTATGATTAAGGTCAGTAATCGAGTTTTTTTTAAACCAGAAGCCCTTTAAGACTATAGCAGGAGGGCAAATCATTTTAAATAAGCATAGAAAATTTCTGTCACCATGCCCTTACCCAGAAATGAGATAGCCTTTTTGTTTTATTCTAGGTGTAAACCAAATATTCCAGAAAAAGGTCACATTATGGTAGACGGAAAGTGGGCATCAAATGGGCACTCTGTTACCTCCCGGAAGTGAACCAGGATGCCAGCCACTACTTACGGTCAAGAGGAGGCCTCACATTGTAGAAGTTGATGTTCTTGGCAAATGCCTGGTTCTCTGAGAAGATAAAGAGCTGGATGGTAGCGACAGCTAGAGCATGACAGAGTAGTAGCATTGTGATCTCATGGGCTGGACAGGCCAAACTCATATGTCTAAAATGAAAAGATAGATTGGTTCAGCTTATTTCTGTTTTACACATCAACGGAAATATGTTTTGTTTCTGTCTGAAAAGCTCAGTTATTCATATTTTTATTCAACCCTCTATGTGCTGTTTTGGGCTGGTATAAAATGAGCATCATTCTTTTTGATCTGATGAAAGCTAAGTAACTACTGCCTTCTGCATTAGCCAGGCCCTAGCACTAGCTAGCTCAGTTTCAACAGGATGCTTAATGCCCTTCTGGGTCCAGGAAGCACAAGCAGCCTATACTGTCCTGACTGCACCCCACTCCACCAGTCCCTGAGGCTGCTGGCTGACTGTGCTGAATACCTGATACCTTAAATTAGCAATGTTCCAGGTGTGCTCTGCTGAAGTCACTGGGCCACCTATGGGTCACACTCTTTCCCTGAATAAACACTTATGTTTGAGAATTTCCAACTGTTTCACTATCTGAAAGAAACCATAAAAGTAGGAGCAGTGGGAAGGACAATGACTAAAAAGATAATGAGTCTTGGAAATAAAATATTTTCTGGATCCCAGAGCACAAAGACAGAGAGAAATAGGAGTCACTGTGAAATGCCATCTCCACCTGCTTTTGGGTGAAAGAAGCTGTTGCTGGGAGGTTCTAGAGGAAACAGAATAAAAGTCTGAGATGCTAAAAAACATATAATGTTAGTCCTGGTCCACAAGTATTACTATTCAGTATTTTCAGTCTTTAAGTAGGCAGAGCAGAAACCCAATGCGTGCATAAGCACTGGGTAAAGGACATGACATCTTAGGCCCTATAACTCCAACCTCCAGAAGCCAGCTTGGTAGTAAGAAAATCTGGAATCTCACCACGGACTGGTTCTCTTTGAGAAGGGGTTGGTGTGGGCAGCAGAAAAAGATGTAACTTGTAGTCCAAAGACTTCAGTTCAGGTATTGGCTCTGCTGTTTATTAGCTGCCTGACCCTGGCCAAGCTCTTTAAACTCTATTAACCTCAATTTTCTCATCTGTAAAGTGGATTAATAATATCTGGGCTGCCTACACATTTGAGTAATTGTGAACATCAAATACAGGCTCAGATAGGATCACTATAAGATTGTATAAATAAAAGCATTCACAACAAGAGTTCTGTGAAAATATTGTAATAGTGGAGGTCAGTAATGTTGGCTGAACTCATTTTCTTTTTGCTGAGCCAACTGGTCTCAATGGCTTAGGGAAAGGTTTAATCTTTGTATGTACACACATGATTCCTTACACAAATGTTTTGTTTGAAGCCAGGGTAATAATGCGTGTGAATACATTAGTTTTACAGATGTGATCAATAATGCAAACCTATGGAGATGCAACTGAATAGTAAGCAAAATATAGCCACAACACCATATCATTCTGGCAGATAACTTTTGCCATGATGGAACTGAATCACTATGGATATACTCAGTGTAAACAAGAGAAAACAAAAAACCTAGTAAGTAAATTTCAAATCAATACAATAATGCTAAACTTTAGCATTGCATTTTAGATCATTTCATAATTGGACCTAGATATATTTTACAATGGACATTTTTTCTAGCTCATTTTAGAAACCAAGATTAATCTTTCACAAATATTGTATTTCTAAATTTTATTCTTACGTTCTTTCTGAAGAAATAGACATTTAGCCAACTATATTATCCCTTACTATAGGGTGGTTATACTGTTACACATTCTGCTTCCCCCTTCCTTCTCTAAGTTGGTCTGTCCCACAGTCATTAGGAATCTGTAGCTAAGTAATGGATATACTTTCTTTTCAGTTTAATTTAATTTTATTAGTACATGTTTGCAGCACACGAATTTTACATTCATTTTAGGGAGTAGGTACATGTACATAACACAGCTTTAATCCCCTTCACCTTCCTGCCCACCTCCCTCCTTCCTTTTCTAAATCTCCTTTCCCCATTTTTATTCATACTGTTATTATTTTTAGTTCATGTTTATGACATGTAATGTTTACATTCATTGTGGGTATTTGTTATATGTAAATGGCATCTTAAATCTTTTTACTTTCCTTTCCCCTGATTCCCTCTCCTCACCCTCATTCTCCTGGGCCCCTTCCCATTTGCAAAAAAAAAAAAAAAATCTATCTCCCTGTTTCCTTCTAGCAATCCTTTATTTTGCTCTTTATTTGCACTTGGAATTATTCAAATGAGAGATACCATATGGAATTTAAGCTTATGTGTCTGATTTATTTCACTTAACAATATATTTTCCAAATGTATCCATTTTCCTATAAATGTCTTGGATATCTACAGAGTATTCCACTCCACTACAACAGAGTATATATATTTTTCTCTGTAGCATATGAAACTTTCTCCAAAATAGATCACACTTTGGTCCACAAACCTTACTTAAATAAATATAAAAGAATCAAAATCACCCCAAGTTTACTATCAGACCACTGTGCAATGAAAATAGAAATCAAGCACTTAAAAAAACAGAAAGTTTAGAAACACCTGGAAACTCAATAACACACTTCTGAATACCCAGTGGGTCACAGAAGAAATTGAGTAAGAAAATTAAACAATTTCCAGAAGGAAATGACAATGCCTGCATGGCATACGGGAGCCTATGGGACACAAGGAAAGCAGTCCTAAGAGGGAAGGTCATTGGATAGACCTTCTTTACACCAGGGGAGACACTTTGAAAAGGAAGACTAATCCCTCTTTCACAAACAAACCTCAGTATGACTGTGCTAACATAGAAATACACAAGTGTTCCTGTAATACGGAGAGGACATACAAGATTATGGATTTTAGAGTCCCGTTTGTCCACATATTTGTTTTCCATCTCTAAGCAGTTATGGGACTGTAGACAAGCTGCTGAAGCTTCCCAAGCCTTGCCCTCCCCATTTGCAGAAGTACAAGAGCAGTGCTTACCTCATAGTTTTGAAGACAAGACCAAATGACATAAGGCATAGGAAGAGCCCAGCTCAGTGCTGAGCACATGGCTAAAACTATATTTATTGAAAATTTTCTATTTAGGTGTAAAGATCATTGACTCAACCACTTGCTTCCAAACCTCTTATTTTTGAAGCCTGGTCCACTTTAACCTCCATGGACTAAAATTTGTGCATCTGTAAATTAGAAGTAATAATAATACCTACTTTGTAGAGTTCTAAGAATTAAATAATATAAAAGTTGAAATATTTAATTAGCTATGTGCCTCAAATTTTGCTAATTCTTATGTAATATTAACTATTATAAACAAAACCCTAGTTTGGAATCGCAAGTCAAAATCTCCAGTTTTCCTCCTGTAATTTCATTGTGAAACAAAAGCCCATTCATTCATTCAACATGCCATTATTGACATCCAATATGGGATTGTTGTTACTGACTTCCCAACAAGGCATTTTTTTCTCAAGCAAATTGCATTTTAGAGGGATAAGATAGGCAATACACACGTGAAAAACATAACTTCAGATAGTCATAAAGTCCAGGAAGGCGATACAATAAGGTGAGATGTCTGTGACTAGGAAGAGCTGGTAGCTCCATACATCTCTCTAAGTAGGCGGCATTTGAACAGGCAGATTAAATGATGAGATGGAATTACCCAAGCAAAGAATCAAAAGGACAGCAGCCCAGATTCTAAGATGGAAAAGAAGCCTGCCCCACTGGGGAAACACAAAAAGCAGTCAGTGTGACTGGAACATGTAGAAAGCAGGGCAGGGACAAAGGCATGAAGTCAAGGGGGCCAAATCAAACAGGCATTTACTGCAAAGATTTTGGATTCAGAAAAATCAAGAAATTGTTCACTTCTGGGTTGTCTAATTTTGAAAAATACCAAGAATGCCTTTTCTCTATAGAGTAATCAGTCTCAAATTCTTAGCCTCATTTCTAGCTCCTGAAATAAAAAAATACAAATGATGATGAATATAGAGGAAGATGGAATTCAGATACACTAAAGTTTCCTCTGAATGAATAAATGACAGACAACTTAAAAACAACTGAATGAACAATAAGTCCAAGGATTAGATTTGGTTTTTAGTTTCTCTGTCCTTCAAAACAGCAACACAGGGACTTGATCATTGCTACCATTGTGCAACTGAGGAAACTGAGGTTCAGAGACAGCATCTGTAAAAGTTCCAGCACACTGAATCCAAACAGTTCCACGTGGTACATCCTGGCCTACTGCACTTGGAATCCAGTGCAAAGTAAAACAAAAGAGAGTTACTTTCATATAGACAAAATGTATTTTCATTTCCATTTCAAACTGAAATAGCAAAGCCTTATTCTATCAAAATTCTCTAAAACTGCAAAGGTTTTATCTGTCAAATAAATGTGTCTTATATTTCCAGAGCAGGCTTGATAATTTATTGCCATACACTGCTTCTCCTTGAGTACCTCTATCTATCTATATCTATTCTTCATGTACAGGTTTGCATTAACATGACTTTTATTTTTAACAACCCAAAGATACTAGAATAATGAAAAAATAAATGACTAAATGTAGTATCTGAGAATTGTTTTACGTGTGGAATCATTTCTTGGAGACTCTGAACTAAAAATTGTCTGCTGAGACTTTGCTGAGTAGGCTCTCACTACAGGCTTTGTGGCAGAACAAGGTTAGAGCAGAGCTTAGATATTGCTCCAGAGGAGGAAAAAAAATATTTAACACAAGAGAAACTAAACCATTCAGGTTATTATCTCAAAGCATGATACTGAGAAGTGTTAGTTCTTCATGTGGGGGCAGGGGTTAGCTGTGAGATTCCTTAGGTAATTTGAAAAAATGTATATCTAGATGAATTTCCCTCTGGGTGAAGTATCTCTACGGAGTCTAAGAGACCCATGTGATGGTTAAGAACGGCTGCCTGCAGATTCAGATTACGGCTGTAATGATTCAGCTTCTGTGACTGCAATGATTTCATATTTTGACTCTAAGAGAAAAAGTTCCACATATACAATATGTTAGGTATGTCCACACTCTTCAAACTCAACAGTAGCTCAAAATACTCTTTACCAAACAGAGCTTATTAC